GGACAAATGTTTGAATAAGTGACCTCAAAAAACAAGAGTTTTGCACATGTATCTTTTAGGTCTATTCGTGAAGATTTGGGTGCACGTTTATACGAGGAACATACCTAAAAATTTTTTAAAATGTAGCTTGAAATTATAGATGCTCGTTATACGCCGGAAAATACGGTATGTGTATGTATGATACTTCAAAATCACGATGAGTTAGTGCTTGAATAGGCATTACGTGTAGATAAAATGTAATGTAACCTTTTAGTTATGATACTTGCATATAAACAGTATGAATATTAAAAGGGAAATGCCATTTAAAATACCGTATATCACCGCATTGCACTTTGAGTTGATTCGGAATCTTATTTATATACCTGTGCCCTTATTAGTGATAGGCGCAATATGCATTGAAGTGCATATTATTCATACAAGTGTCGAAACGGGAAATGTATCCTCCCTTCTTATAAAAGATCGTTTACTGTGTTTATTATAGCTAGAGAATTGGACCAACATCTCAGTTTCTCGTAATTATCCCACCGGGGGGTGCTTTCTTCCGGGTCTTATAATGTATCTAAATGGAGCGTTAGCTCTTTCTTTGACGGTCTGTCGTTTTCGTATAACCATGGCAATAATGGTTATTCGCAGCAGCATGACCCGAGCCTTCAAATAACAGCTGCATAGATGAGAGGTTTGAGTAACTGCTGCCATTTATCTCTCGGAAATAGTCTGCATTTAAAAGCTACATTTATTGTAAAATGATGAGCTAGGTGATTAATTTTCAAGTGAATGCCATTTCATGTGCTCCGTCGAGATTGGAATTTAGAATTTAAAGCAATAGAGCGGTGAAATGAATGGAAATAGTGGAGAATATAAATGAAAACTTCAGTAGCTAGAGTACTTAGAGCTTGATCTGTACAAATGAAAGTGCCGAAAACGTATGAAAAGCCAAACCGGAACGGTAAGCAGATTTAAATAATTAGATAAAATTGCTATAAGCGGATCATACGTGAACTAAACACCTAATAAACAAAACACATTTTAAAATTTTATTGCATAAAACTGAAAAATGTAAAAACAAATGTTAAACAAATAAATGATAATGAAAAATAACACTAACGGGAGAAATACAGGTAAAATATATTGAGATAAAATATATCGTAAATCGTGAAAATTAGATATAGTAATAAAGCACACGAAAAGTTAGTAAATAACAGAAAATACTCTGAAGAGAGTTTTGTTTGTTTTAAAGTAATGCGATACGATTATTTTTATTCAAATATTTCTCGTAACGTACATGCTTCATAGCCATAATAATGTTCTATAGAAACATAAGAACGTGTACTACAGCTTTTAAAATCATAAAGCAGATAGTCTTACAATTCATTCACACTAATTCACTATACTTGCATTCATATTTATCACACATTCATACTAATTATTCATTCATAATTTCTGCCTGAATGGATGAATGAGTAAGATAACTAATCACGATGATGAGATAGCTACAGGTAAGATAATTAACGATATGAGTTTAAGTGGCGGCGAAAGAACTGCATGGGAGTTTTCGTGGTATTTTTTACGTGTAACATGAATACTAACCAAATTCTATTAGAAAGTCCTCCACGAAAGCCTTTAGGCAAATAGCCGTAGTGTGTCTAATCGATAATCCAGTCTAGTCCAATTTAAAATCATATTGCTGATAGTTAAGCCCTGAAGATAGTTTTATGATGGTTAAAAATGTTAAAATATAATACGTTAAGAATGCGCTATCATCAATACTGAATTCTTTTAGCCTATTGCTGGGTCTCTCACAGAAAATCAAATCATGGGTCGCATGCGGTCTACAATTCACTAGCTGTCCTTCACTACCTACAGTGAAACTTCATTTAATAGAATATATTCTCACTGAAAATCCTTTTGTCTGAAACGACGAGGAAAAATAACATCTAATTCGTGATTCCGAAAACCAGGTATTTCCATTATTTGGTTTCGGCAAAGCCCATTTTTGTTTTCCATCGTTCTGAACTTGCATTCATATTTATCACACATTCATACAGAAGAAAATACATATTATGAAATAAAAGCAAGCGATTTCAATATGTTTCGAGCGAAAATACTGAATCGCCTAACCTAAAAACACCCCCAGAGAATTTCGAAAATGTTTTTCCATGTCTAGCCATTGATGTTGATAGTTCATACGAAGAGGGTTTTCTGAAACGGAAAACTTCAGAGTCTTCACTTTTTTAGAGCCAAGAATGCACAGACTAAATAAAAAAACTGCAAGCTTCAGAAAATCAGTGTTCGAATAACTGGACGTCTGGTTGGACTCGTCCATCACTGGCTGAATGCATAGGAAGAATGCACTGGTAACTTAACCCGGGTTTCAACCCTGCTGATTGTCTATTGTTTTCATGTATCTCCTCGTGATGTAACATTAGTGTGAGAAAATACTCTTAGACATTCCTCCACGAAATTGAAAAATTACTCTTCAATGCATTCAATAACAATTTATTAAAAGCTCTTTGTATACTTTACTATTTTGATACATTTCGATAGCAACATATTTTATGAACATTTTCTAGGCTTAAAATTATTTAGATTGTGAAAAAGTATTCGAGAGTTACCCGCTCTACGGGAGGGATATTTTCGTTTAGTCATTTCAAAAAGAAACTGTCTCCTGGCTCATATTTACATTACACACCCGGAAAACCGCGAAAATTCCCTTGCAGCCAACCCGTTCGTATAGCCCAAGTCGAATTACAAGTATTCATGAAATTGCTAGTTTACCGGTCGGCTGCCTAGTGAATCCTATGAACATTTATAGCAAAAACATAATAAATAAAAGAAATTTATAGCACCGTACAAAATGGCCCTGTGTCCATAGCTAATACATTACTCACTTAACTCCAGATAATAGTAAATGCTACATGAAACAGGATATTCATGTAACATGCTGAATTACAGTTAAGTTTATTTGATAACTTATACAAGTAAGACGCTGCTAAGATTTAATAAAGAAAGTATTATATACATTAAAATACATTATAAACTGTACCATTCAACATAGAAATATGAAGTATATTGTACATTAAAGCATACCTATGACAAAAAAGGATTCTGAAATTTTAAATGAATCTGCAAGCGTGTAAAAAAAGGGGAATGCGTTTCTTGTATTATATAGTACACTGTACTGTTTTAAAGGATAGTAGATATTTCCCTAAAACATCTTTCATTTCCCTAAAAGTTTCTAAGCAGTCGTAGCTTGACTACTTTTAAGTTTTGAGAACGTTATTCGGCAAATAAGAATTTTTAAGGTAATAAAGTTGCGATTACTCGTAAATAATAAGAATAGTATGAATGCCCAAAGCGAAAATGAAAAAAAGTAAGAAAGAATAAGTATAGGCACAGAAACGAAGAGGAGTCAAACACTCATTGACCAATGATTCCCACCAACATACTTACCACCATCAACGTGGGCTGTGAACTCAAGAGTTGTGAGGGTTTTAGCCTGAGAACATGCTCCATGAGCATTTCCTTTTCCCATTCTCTTATACATATAAACCCGCGACGAGCGTGAAGATGCAGGAAAAGAACGTACTGGGCATGTCTGGACGCTTGTGTTTTGGCTACAACTGACAGTAGAGATTCATCAACAGTACGGAATCAATTCTTGATTCATGGAATAATATCGAGACGACGTCCAAGGCTCGAGTTAAAAAGCAGAGGAAAGAAGAACAACATATGTTAACATAGTTAACAGAAAATATTTTTTATTTCCAATGGTAGATAACTTGCAAAAATGAGTAAAAATAAACACAAACAAAAAACGAAATACAAAAGAGCGAAATACAAAAGACGAAAGTCTCATTCGAATTCTTACCTCTCAGTATTGACCACGGTAGCTTTACAAAGAGTTTTTCAGTAAGAAGTATAATGGCCATCCATAATGCTGTAGTTACTGCGAAGGGTATAGCTTATGTTCAGCCAAACAGTCGTGCTGAATCAAGAGTCTAAACGTTGCAACCGCCTCACGGCGGGGGCAGTCAGGTATGTTTATTTACTTCCAAAACCTCCAATTTTTGGAAGCGGTTCAAGCCCTCAGTTCCTCATAATATCGGAAAGAAAAAGTAATCTTGACCAGACTTTTTATCGTACAAAAAGGGTCATGTTAACAGAAAAGAACTAGTAATCATTTACCTGTATTTTCAAGTAGTTTTATCTGGAAAAAAAGTTCTGATTACTCAAATTACATCTGTATTCGAAAGGAAAAAAAAACACTGTAAATAGTGGAAAAATAAATATCGTTAGAAATGAAGTTACACATGACTTTAAAGAACAATATTTACAAGAGAACCTAAAAAATAATATTCACTTCCCACTAGTTTAAAATATGTCAGATAAAACTTCTATTTTTATGGTTTATGATAGTAATGGTTGTATGGTTTCTCAATAAACTAGCGGGGAGATGTGAGGGAAGGCAATTTTGAGGGTGTTTGTGGTGCTATATCTTGGTTATGCTAGGGATGGGTGTCAATCTGCCTACACGTGGACGCTTATGACTGCTTCTTTTAGTTTTTTTCTCCTTACTGACCTAAACCGCGTTTAAAGATATATTAAAGATTCTGAATCAATGGATGTAAGACCATGCCTGTACTAGGCACCTCAACAACAAAAATTTTTGAAAAAATCCTGAGAGTGTAATGCTTTCATTTTCGTTCTTTGTATCGCATTACACTTACACACCACTTCAACACGGCTTGGTAAACTGCCAGCTCTGTAATCTGTTACCATTTTACGCAGCATAGGAGATCATTTGATTTAAATTTCTGTGTTACAACAACTCATTACTTTTATCAAGCTGCATAATTTAAAAGATATATGTTTGCTTTCTAATAACATTATTAACGCTTGCACAATTAATGTAATTAGCAAAACAATTTTCAAAAGTCATATATGCGCCGCAAATGTAGGTTTTTAATAGTTTGCTTAGTTTAACAACTATTTATTCTCACCTGGGTCTTGCCATCTGCGAATAATATTTGTCGATCTGTTCCAAATACCTCAGTGCTTCGGCCATGTTAGCCGCCTCGTCTATATTAGGACTGGCCCTTGTACCTGCTGGTAGGCTAACTACAAGCAAGGCCACTACCATGCTGAAGGCAAACAGGAAGATTCCTAATTTACTCATCATGTATATCAGGATACTGTACTTTATAAAGCGGCTATACTGCAAAGCACGGCTGTTACGCCTATAGCAAGAGATGCTGGAAAATGGAAGTAAAGGGGCAAAAACTGCTTTATTTATCGGTGGAGAACTAATGAAAATCAAACAAATATGTATCCCTAAATTTACGCCCGCCAATGGCAGTCGCGAAGCCTACGTAATTTGAAGAGAGCTTTCCATTGGTCGAAAGTAAGAAAGCACATGACAAAATCAATGCCGTTTCATAGGTGGATATCGGAATGTTCCGAGGTGAGCTTTACATTCTCTCTCTGTCTCTCTCTTGATAAGAATTTTCTTTTTGTATGTTTGTTTAAGGCCAAGTAATATATGGAAGATGTTTTTGAGGGGGTGTTTTATTTTATGTTATGTTTCATTCTTAAAAACAAGGCATTTTTTTAAATCTCGCCCTTTTTTAGGTAAACATGAAAGTTTTATATGCTTTTTATTGAAAATGTATGACCTTCTTTAGCAATATTTGTAAAATAGAAAGTCGTGTAACTGAGTGTTTCTTGTATCCTGGTCACTTTAAATTATATTACTCGTCCAAGTCATTAATCTCCTATGGCGAGAGATGCTATTCCACGCGAAAAAGTCTTTTAACTTTCGAATTAAAACAGTCTACTGCGAAATCTAAAACAGTCTACTGCGATCAATTTAAAAACAGTATGCCTGTTCCTTAATTTATATCTTTATTCCTTTTTAGTAATTTATCTAAATCTCACAACATATAGCAAAAAATGTAATTTCAAAATGGAAAGGTCTTTAGCGCAGTCTAAAAATTTTGAGCCATTACGTTACGTTATTGCTATCTGCATTTATAATGCATATAACTTATCAAATGTTGCCTATGCGTAATACTTAAGTTCTTTTCATTTATCTTCCACGTTGCCTGGCAAATAATCAGTTTATACAATGTTTCTAGCTCACTTAATATAACGTCTTCCGAATTTTATCAATCCGTAATTCATTACATTAACCTAAGTAATTTTTTAAAAATATTTGATGAATGAAAAGTATTAAGAATATTAAAATAATTTTAAAGGTGTTTCGTAATAATTTAAATTTTCATTTCATATTTTAATTATCTATAAAAATTAAAGTATATTTAATATATAAAGTTTCAAGCTGATAATTTTTATGAGCATATGCAGCGTTATTGTGATTTATAAAAAATGCTTCTAACTTCATTTATTACCTACTTTGCTGTTGAATCCTTGGCTTTCTTTTTATTTTATTAGCTCAAAGCGGCGTTAGACCCAAAGGGCTATTAGTCTGAAAACGGCACCATTAGTTTGAAAACGCTTCACTTTTTGAGTTGATTCATTTTTCAAACTGCTGCCACCAAATATTATCGCCATGTATAAAAAAAAGAAACTAAATATTGAAGAATCTGCATGAATGTTTCTGGCATTGTGAAAAAACAACAGAACCTAGAGGCATTAAATTTTGAATACCGTTGTCCTCCAATCGAACATGGGTACTTGGAAGCCCAAATTTTGAATTTCGAATTTGTTTTATAATCTATTTCAAATTTCGTAAAACTTGCTGGTAACGGATTTTTGATTAACAAACTCAATGATTTTAAGCGAGTAATAGCAACACTGTGTGAGGGGAAAAAATTTATCTCCAAAGCGCGGGACTGTCTATCGTAAATTCTAAAGATATGCCGTTTTTAAATATTATGTGATATTGCTGTTGAATTGGATTTTATGTGTTTTAAGTGCGAATAACATGATATTTAATAAATAAAAGTAACACACAAGACGTTAAAGAAACGCCCTTTTGGGCCTTGTAATATAAAATCTGAAAGCTTTCAGATTTTCTTTTCATTTGACAATTTATACTTTTTTTAAATCTCTTTGATAAATATGTATAAATAACTAGAAAGCGTATTTAGTAATCAAAATGTAGCATTTATAATCTATTCCAATGATTAATTCTGTAAAGATTTTTTATAATAACATATTTTCCACACATAGGTTGGAGAATAATTATTACAACTACAAAAAAAAAAAAAAAAAAAAAAAAAAAAAATTGACTATGCTCACAAATGAAATGTCCTAAAATGTAAAAATAGCCCAGGTTTTAGAAAATACATGCATACAACGTCACAAAAAGATTGATCGGACGTTTTTAGGTTCGAAAAATAATGTCAAAAACTTTAAATGCATTACTGTGAAACTATAAATAATAATTTTCTTTGAAACATGTATTTACTAAACTTCTTCCAATACTGAAGAGGGTTTCCAAAAACAAAATATTAGATTAAAAATTTAGTTCATTTTCTATTGAATGAAAAGGTTTTGTTACAAAAGTGATCGGATATTTATTGTTTCGTCAAATAAAAATTCAAAAAAATAATTGTGAACTTTTTCAAATATTTAACTAGATTAGAATTAGCTTTGAAACAAGGTTTAACGTTGTTTTCGGCCATGTATTCAACAAAGATTTTGATTATTTTTTCCTAAAGTTTGTATTTCTAATTTCAACTATTTTAAAGGAATACTTTTGTATTTTAGTTCCTTATTCTGCTGCTTACAAATATGTTGATGGGATTTAAATCCTGGACATTAAAGAAATGGTCGGTGCATTTCAGGAGAATTCAGCGGCAGCTATAATTGTACTATATATTCACAGCGAAATACTTAGGAACATTTACTTGATAAAGCCTGGAGTTACCTCGCAGTTTGAATTTTTGAGCTATAGAGATTTCATTTTTAAAAGGAGTATATGCATACATATGTATTTTACCGTTAATAACCTTCAGATTACAGTTTCAGTTGGCGACATGCCCTTCTGCGACATGCCCTTCTACGTCATGTTCTTCAGTTGTTCCGCCATGTTCTTCATTCAGTTTAGTTTCTGAAATTCATCTTTGGATATCCTCCATGTGATACATTAACCATCCGATGAATAAAATGGTGTTTATTAGTATAGATGGAACTTTCAAAATGATCCGCCGTAGGAAAACTCGAATTTCGAAGTCTTTTTCGTCATGTGAATTTTTTAAATCTTAATCTAGAAACCATTAAACCTTTCATCAATACGTTTTTTTTATTTAAATATCAAATTCCTTTTCCGAACTATAATTTTTTACTTAAAATAAGTTTTTTAATACGCTATCGATGTACACTTAATACGAAATACATTTCATTAATTCACTTCATTTTTAATAAAGAGTTTTTTTTTTTTTTTTTTTTTTTTTTTTTTTTTTTTTCCAGATTTTGATCTCAGATGAAATCTGGAGCCTTACTGTATTCTACCTCTGACTAGGTGGTAAAAAAGGGGAGGGAAGATGAAACTGCAATCTAAAAGCTGTAGGTTATAGTTTAAGATCTTGAAGAAGAATTGATTAAAATTTGAAAAGATCAAAGAATTTAAAAATATAAAGTATAAAATTTCATCCAAGTATTTTGCTAATTTTCATGAATAAAAATAGTATTTGCCAACTTATGTAGGATTAAAATCGTATTGTTGAACGAAATTAAAACTAAATTCAGAAAGTATTTTAATTTTAAAAACTCCGACATTTGTTTCTATATTTCATTTTTATAACCGTAAAATGACATAAACAGAAAAACGCAAATATTGTTTTTAAAAAATATTTTGCTCTTTGGGTAAAATTGCAAAATTTGTTCATCTACTTACGATTTTATTTTGGATAAAAATGACAGCATGAAGAAAAAGTAATGCTTAAAATTTTACTTTAGGTACATTATAGAATACTGAAAATATATTTTCGTTATCACACTTATGACTGTTGGAAAACGTTATTAAGAAGTGTGAGGAAAATAACTTTTCGTATGACTCATTTCCTTACGCTAATGAGCAATGCAGTTTTATAGTATACCGAAAGTAAACAAAGTATGCATAGTCAGCTTTTAACTAAATACGCTCATGTTTTTTATCTTTCTTTGCAACGGGCAGGATTTTTCACTATCTGGAAACAATAACCCGTCTTCGAAACGCTGATTAACAGAATTTTAATTACAGTTATATACCTCTGGTAAATTTAAAAAGAATTAAACCTGCTGATATTTGAGGGGAAATAGCACTATATTTTTCTTTCTTTTTCATCGATTATTATGCATTTCTGGTAGATCATCTTATATAAAACGTTAGAACCGATTCTTTCTTTCTTTATGGGCGGGGACATTGTTCATTGAGCAAACGATCCTCGGTTCGGGTACGAGCAGTATCGATGAAAGAATGAGGTGAATGTTTCCGAATATTTTATGCAAAATAAGACACTGTCTCCCGTTAAGAAAAACAAAACTATTTCCAGTTATCAAGGTTCAATTTTGGGCGACAACACGCCTCATAGAGTCCTAAGAAAATGCGAAATATAGGACCTAACTCGTTGTTCAATGTATGCGGCTGTTTGTTATTCGCGCATTTTTCTCCCTTTCGGTCTTGCAGAATTTTTCTCATCCATTGGAAATAAAATTCGATTTCTGAATAACATTCCATCGTGAGAATGCTGCATTTTAAATTTTCTTCCTCCGTTTTTATTTTTATTATTTTTTTTTCGTCTTCTGGAATTGAATCATATTGTCGTCGATATGGCCACTAAAATAAGTTGTTCTGTACTCTGCTTTTTTGTCAAAAATATTGAAATTTCCTTCCAAAATTTAACAGCAAATGCATGCTTGAAATTCACTTTTTGTTACTGCTGTGTTTATTGTGAGCAGATTATGAGAAATGCTTAATGAGGCTCATGATAGCAATGTTCGCGGATTCAGACTTTTAATATTTTACAAGCATATCTTAATTAGCAGTGGATAAACGTAAACTGCACGTATTTTTTTTAACTTGACTTCTTTTCAGCAACTTGCACCTTTAATTCGGAAAGTATGTAATATGCGTAAGATCCTACCTGGTAGAAATGCGTACAGAACTAATAATTTACATATACTGTATTAAATTATCCATAATTATTATATTAAATCATATATAACATATTTTTGAAGATAAATTTTAAGCGTGTTAAACATTTTAGCTTGGTTTCCAATCTCATATATTACGGAAATATTTAGTAAAGCATTGGTTTATATGGCATTGTTTTGAGGCA